CTGAATATTAAGATGATAGCAATTTGCCATTAACTGCCAGTGGCCTCATTTGTTACACTCGGCCCTATAGGGCCTTGAACCTCTGACCAGTCTTACACGGTCCGCAACAGATGTTCTTCTCCATGGATTGGTCCCTCTTTATAATATGTCTGAAGTATGAGAGACATAGTCTCTTCATGCTGGCTTCTATGTAGCATTCTGGATGTACTTCTAACAAGAAAGATTTGTTTGTTCTTCTGGCAGTCCATGGTACTTTCAACATTTTTCTTCAATACCATAATTCAAAAGCATATCTTCTACTCTGGTCTTCCTGATTCATTGTCCAACTTTCATATGCACATGAAGCAATGGAAAATACTTTGGCTTGAGTCAGACACAACTTAGCTCTCAAATTGTTACCTTTACTCTTGAACACTTTAAAGAGGTCTTGTATAGCAGATTTGCCTAATGCAATATGTCATTTGATTTCTTGACTGTTGCTTCCATGAGTGCTAATTGTGGATCCAAGCAAATAAAATCTTTGACAAACTCAATCTTTTCTCCATTTATTATGATGTTATTTATTGGTACAGTTGTGAGGATTTTTATTTTCTTTACATTTATGTACAATCCACACTGAAGGCTGTAGTTTTGGATATTCATTGTCTTCTTTGCTTTCAGCTAGTAAGGTTGTATTATCTGCATATCACAGGTTGTTAATCAGTCTTCTTTCAATTCTGGTGCCACAAGAAGGTTTAAAATGTACAAAAGACTTTTAAAAATTATGGAATAATTTAATTGTCTTTTAATTCCATTTTCCCATGAACTTTTTGAGGCTCCTTTGTAAATCAGCATAGAGTTTTAGCCTTTTAGGTATATTGTAAGGTGGGCTTATGAAAAAGAAAATATTGTTATAACTAGCTAAAGGGGTATTTAAAAATAAATAAATATCAGTGGAAACACTGCACAAAAATTTTATAGACAGTTATTTTGGTATCTCCTACTCTGATAGCGTCACTTGAAGCCATCTGAAACCCTACACCTTCACCACCTGCCCCTGCATACTTCAGTGATGCCACTCATCACCCCTCCTTACCCTGAGGTTGGCCTGATATCATGTGTTGAGCCTCTCTGACCTGGTCACTACTGACCAAAGAAGACACTCATTAGCATAAACATCAGCTAGAATCTAGAGACCTCATCAAAGACACCTGAATCACTGGGGAAATTCCAAGAGTTAAATATTACTACTCAGAAACCACAAACAAACACATACTCCTTACTGATGAGGTCTACAGGTATAATTATGAGATGATCCAAACTCTGTCTATCAAGTGTGTCTCAAAGAACAGTCATATGATATTTCTGGTCGGTTCAGGCTATTGTTTTCTGTAGCTCTTCTCTGGGCCTTGTTGTCGTTGTTACTGATTGCCATTGAATCAGTTCTGACTCATAGTGACACTATATAGGGTTCCTGAGGATTGTTTGGTGGATTTTAACTGCCAATCTTGCTATTAGCTGTTAAGTGCTTAATCTACCTGAGGTGATTTCTTTTCATGCAGGGGTAAATTAGCAGGCAACCAAAGATTCTTCCTCAGATCTGTTGAGTTCTGTCTCTATACTGCTTCCTCCTATCTGGTTCACTCTGTCCTATAAATTCTAATCCTTGGTCTCCCAGGACTCTGGTGTCTGCCTCCCCAACTCAACGAAACCTCAGGCTTTGTTTGGTATTCCTCCCTGAACTATGGTCTGGAAATGATCTTCTAGCAGTTATTGCTAAAGTGCCGTTGAGTCGGTACTGACTTATAGGAGTAGCTGGTGGGTTTGAGCTGGCGACCTTGTGGTTTGCTCCAGTGCTGATCCGACAGCGTTACACCAGGAGCAGGAAGTTGGTACAATTGTAAGCTCACCTGATTTGTTTCCCTTCTCTCAAAAGTCATGGTCCTGCATGACCTGTTGAGTACTATCTGAAAACCATTGTCTCGTATATGTTGTCTGCTTTTAGTAGCAGTGTAAAGCATGAAAATAAATCTAGAGCCTGTTTTGGTTTTGATGTTTAGGTCCTGGAGTTTGAAAGCCAAGCACAGTTTATCACAGCTAAGTTTCCCCCCACTATTTGCTGTAATCAGGA